CAAAAAGCCCTCAATGTCGCCCCAATACGGCCTACGAGAGTTCAAGACCGTTCCGAAACGACCCCAGAGGGCTCTAAGAGACTCCCAGAAACCTCCAAAATGGCCCAAGATGCCCGCAAGACGGCTCCAGCCAAGACTGGGCCCCGACGGGGGACCGGAACGAACATTTCGCGCTCTAAGCCGCAAGACGTCCCCAGCAGACCTCATAACGCCCCCAAGAGGCCTCAAGACGGCCCAAGATGCTCCCAAGACGCCCCAAGATGCGTCCAAGAGACCTCCCAAGAGGCCCCCAACAAGCCAAAATTGATGATTTTCATTGCTTTTTTTAGGATTTTGGCGTTCTCGCCTCTTCGGCTTCCTAGCGCTCCAAGACGGCCCACAAAGCCCTCAATATCGCCCCAATACGGCCTACGAGGGTTCAAGACCGTTCCGAAACGACCCCAGAGAGCCCTAAGAGACCCCCAGAAACCTCCAAGATGGCCCAAGATGCCTCCAAGACGGCTCCAAGACCGGGCCCCGACGGGGGACCGGAACGGACATTTCGCGCTCTAAGCCGCAAGACGTCCCCAGGAGACCTCATAACGCCCCCAAGAGGCCCCCGAGAGGCCCCAAGAGGCCCCCAACAGGCCCCAAGAGGCCCCCAGGAGGCCCCAGGAGGCTTTAGAAATACTGCCAAGAGGCCCTCGAGAGGCTTCCCAAGAGACCCCAAACGGCCTCTAAAAAACGCGTCTTGTCCACGACCAAACTTGGCTCCCACATGTCCCCCTCCTCCTCCTCCTTCTCGCTCGCCACGAGCACGCCAACATAAAGCACAATTGATACAAGATTTTCCCCGCCTCCCTCCTCCTCCATTTCGCTCGCCACGAGCTCACCAACATATGGCACACCGCGGCGACGACGACGACGACGACGGCGGCGACGACGACGACGACGGCGGCGACGAAGATGCTTTCCGAAGCGGCGGAGGCTCTCAGCTCCCCTCCCCGACCATAGGCATGACCGTATGCGAACGGACCCACAATTGCAAACGATGCATCCAAGTACGAAGACCACTGACTCCAACACCCTCGCACCACAAACAGAGCACCCCTAAACACGCCGAGGCAACCGCAGGCAAAGCCCGACCGAACCCTGGAACCTCCAGAAAGCGGGGCTCTATTGGCGGACCGCGCCAAACCACCATCCGCGAGCCCCATGAGAGCAGACGATGGCGCCACAAACCACTGACAGCCGCAAACGTCGAACCAACTACACCGGACTGGTGCACCCACCACCGAAAACAACGTCCCCCCCCCCATCAGCGCAGAATGGCTCACGGACGCGCAGCCAAACCCCAGCGATTACGCATTATGGGCAGGCGGAATGAGCGAAGCGATTGAATTAACAAACTAGCTTCAGGTCTACACAACATAGAGAACTGAGCAACGGCATCAGAATTGTATGCAGGCGTATGCGATAATGAACAACGAAGGAATCAGTCCACACTAGCGACATACCTACTGTCGCGACGTCGTGAACTTTCGAAAAAGACCGAATCGAAAGGACCCGATGCCGACGAATAAAGAAGCACGCCGCGCTTGCCATCATCTGAGCTGTGCACGATGCCCTTGCTGTGCAACACCTTGAGGCCGTCCACCAACTGCCTGAAGACGTGGCATGCCTCCGACTCCCTGAACTTCAGCCTCCCAGTCCGCCCGGGAGGCCGCCTGACGATCGCCTGCAGCAGGTTGCCCCTGTCGACGAGCTCGAGCAAGAAGAAGAGCCAGTGGCCCTCCTGGATGACGTCCACGAACTTCACGAGGTTGGGATGTGGCGGAAGCTGCTGAAGCACGCTCGCTTCGCGCCGGAGCTTCTTCACCTCGCGGCCCACGTTGACGAAGAGGCGCAGCTGGCGCAGGTCCACCGCCTTGGCAGCGAACTTGGCAGCATCGCTCTTGCGCTCGCAGGCGTACACCACGGCGAAGGCACCTCGCCCCAGCTCCTTGCCCCGGACGAAGCCGCCGAAGGTGTCCGGAACCCCGCACGCATCCTCGGCGGCAACCTGCGACGTCCTCTTCGTGCCGCCCCCGCGCGCCCGCGACGCGGGCGCCGCCGCGGCCGCGGCCGTGGACTTTGGCGCCGCGACCCTCGCGGCGGGCTTCGGCGCGGCCTTGGCCTTGGGCGCCGCTGCCGCGGCCTTTGCCCTTCCCGGCGCCGCCTTGCCCGTCTGGCCCTTGCCGCGTGTCCGCGCCCGCGCTTTGGCGGCAGCCTTGGCGGTCAGAGGCGCGCGGCTCGGCATGGCCCGGCCGGGGCTCGCGCCGTGGCGGCCCAGGCAGGTGCGGCGGGGGAGCACCCCGCGGCCGCCTCGTTTTCAGCCGGCACGAGGGCGAGGGGTGTCGATGGCAGCGCGCTCGGACAAGGAACTCGTGGCCGTCGCCCCCCCCCTGCACACACAGCGGGAGCAACCCCGTCTGCCCTCCATCCCCCAGTCTTCGCTCCTCCCGGTCATCATCAACACCAC